GGTTTGACTGTACAATAAATTTTAGTAGTTTGCATCAATCTGAAACTTGAATGATTGCATAAATAGAGCAAACGACTAAGCTTTATTGTACAGTCAAACCTTGGTTTTTGAACGGCTCCGTTTTTGAACATTTCGGTTCCCAAACGCTGAAAACCCAGAAGCAGTGCTTTTTTCTGGGGAGACGCAGGGGTACGCATACCCCTAAACATTTTGTGAATCTAAGTTTGGCTCCATTGAGGGGCAGTATTTCAATAGAAGTAGGAAAATATGAGAGTACCCCTAAACATTTTTTTAAGAAAAAGAAGCACTGCCCGGAAGTAAATGCTCTGGTTTTCAAATGTTCCTCAGAACTCGAACGTCCGACACGGCTTCCGCTTGAGTGCAAGAAGCTCCTGCAACCGATCGGAAGCCGCGCCTTGGTTGTCGAACGTTTCGGAAGTCGAACGGTCTTCCGGAATGGATTACGTTCGACAACAGAGGCTAAGATATCACACTTGTCACCTGAAAGGGCACGCACACAGGGAGATCGATCATCATTTATGTTATCAGTTTTTGCTTTCTGTAAAAGAAGATGCATTTAGATCAGTCCTCGCAGACGATGGAAAACGAAACCAACTTCAGGACCGGCTAGTTCTTGTGCAATGTTTACGGTTATTGTTGCCTTCAGTCTGGAGTAAAAATGGGAACTTCACAATGCTGTTTATTTGCAGGACCAAAGAAAACTCCTTTCAGTTAACCAGAGCCCACAACTCCATAGTTACTGCTGAATCCCAGCCCAGCAGTGACCTCCTTTGTTTTTATCAGTGGCACGGAAGAAACAGCATATGCCATTTTTTAAATCAACACCGTTCCATGGAACTTCTATAAATCGAGGTCTTCTAAAAAGAAACTGTGGTTTAATTATGAGCTTTACCCACAAGGCAAAGAAAGAATAAGAATCACGATTAAATGAGGAAGTGATTCTTAACTTCGTTGTTGGATAGGGAAGCTGGCTTGAGCTATTGCATAGTTCTTTCAGTTAAAGCGATGACAAAGCTGAATCAATGAACATCAGTCATGTGCTCCTTTTCCCTCCCTGTCATGCACTGGTTTGGCATGAAGCTCTTGGCTTGTATCATGCCCAAATCCCCCATTTCTAAACTGGGAAATTTTGACTTCCCTTTCCCTCCCAGTTTCTAAACTGGGGGACTCTGGCTTAATGTTGATGAATAACCCACAAAATAACTACATTCTGGCTTACTTTCATGTTTTTTTTAATCCAACATTCAGCCAGTTTGGACATAATAGGGAACTCTAGCTTAATACAACCAGTGTGCAATTGGAATAGGTGGCACAAGGGAGGTGCACTCAGCCTTAATGCTCGTTTCTGGCTCTATAAACCGTGGTTTGTGAAGGTTTTAATGATCATGTGAACTAAACCACAATCTGGCCATCTGTGCCTGTTTCCCACCCACCCCAGACATTTTTATTTTTATGATAGTTTATAGACAAAAGGATTCAGTCTTAACACTTGCTCAAAGAATTAACCATTTCAGAACTTCTTAATGTTATTTATGTGCAGTGTATTACTCTGCGAAACCATTCTTAGTCTGCATTTAATATTTCTGCAACAAAGTAGATCATGGGGTCCAAGAAACTTCATGAACACATGGCGACAGTCAAACTTTAGTCATATTCAGATTAGACAGGTTGGAATAAAGGGACTTGATTTCAGTGGATTTACCCCAAGCATGATTAATGCTGGAAATCACCCATAGTATGATAAAATATTTGTTTAAACATCCCAAGGGGAAAAGAAGGCCTGTTTGAGATAATTTTGGAAGTGGTAGAAGAATAAAACAATAAAAGATAAAGGATGCTGCAGCATCCTAAATTCACCAATTATATATGAGGGCTGATCATGCACAGCATGATGTTTTCTTAGGAGAAAGGCTCACTAAATTCAATGATGAATATTTCCAAGTAATTTCAGCAGACTTTGAACTTGGGCTATCCATGAAAGGATGTTTCAAATTCCACTTATGGAGCCAGCCATAATACTATGTCAAGGTATTCATGTGCACATGGATTTGGCAGTGCTCACCATTCTACCTCATTTAAAAAATAAAATCTCTCAGGAGCATGGGTGTCGTGATGGTGAAAACTAGACATGCACATAGAGCTACTATCCACAAATCACTCCTTGCATACTGTCTCAGCTATCATGCGGAGCGATTTCATGTAAATGGGCCCTCAGTTACGTAGATCCACGTTTACATTTAGTTTTCCCACCCATTCCTTGAGGTTACTGGTGAGGAAGATGAGGTGCTATTAATAAAAGAATTTATTGTAACAGAATCTAAATTTGTGCATCTCAATTTACAGCAGGATGTTAAAAGCACCTTCTGATCATTTTGCTGCCTTGAGGACAGGAACGCGAAAGCATTTCCAAGTCCTGATATCATTCCTCTCTCAGTCTGTTTTTAGTAAATGTCACTGACAATTCAATAGTCATGGCAGTAAGTGAGAAGAGCAGCTATGTTACTTTCAGGCTGAATTAGAAACACATTGCCAAGGATACACAAGTGACTCAGTGGTAACTAATTAAAGTGGTGAATTATACATATGAATTCAAGGGTATGAGCCAGCCAAAAGCATTTTGAAATCTTTTTAATTTCCATGGGGGGGGGGGTATTTACAGTCTGATTCTTTGCAAAGTTAGGTGTACCTACGTCACCCAGCTCTGCACAGGACTGAGCTGTGTTTATTATTATTATTATTATTATTCAGCCACTGAGAATTAAAAGTGCTCAGTGTCACCCTAAGGCTACAGTCGTGAACACACTTTCTTGAGAGTCTCAGTGAACACAGTGGAACTATTTATTTATTAAATTTGTAAACATGCACAAATGGGCTGTGACTGTTTGCAACATAAATATTTCAACATGGAAGGGGGGAAGGGAAGAAAAGTCCATTCACAGTTTCAAAATTATATTTAAGAGAGTCTAAGAACAGCTTGTGCAAACGTGAACGGCGGGTGTGCTATATTCATCTAAATTAAGCAATTGAAATGTTCTTTTTGGCTGTCTTTAGGAAAGAACTAGCTGAATTTGCTAAGAGTTATTCTCAAGTAAGTATGCGTAGAATTGTCATCTTAAATCTCAACCCTAGGAGCTCACTTTGAGATAAGTGTGCAGCACACAGGTTGTAGCTTTACCCAACTCACTTACCTGGCTATCGGCCTCATTAAACTTAGTAAGATGTATTTTCAAGTAAGCATACATAGCATTTCAAGAAAATGTGAGAGAGAACCTTATGTACTGAGAGAGCAATGAGTCTGCTAATTAACCTTTGTCCTGTGTATCAGATTTCCTCACTGACTCTGTACCAGGACAAAAGGAAAATTGAGATTCATAGCGGATCGCAAGCTAATTTCACATTGACCTCTCACTTAATACCTATTGATGACTGGGATTATTGCTGAACATGGCAGACCTTGGTTTGACCAGTGAGGCAACTGCTAAAGTTTTGAGCAAAAACTCATATTCAGAATCACTTAACACAGCATAGCTATGCCTTAACTTTAAGAGAGCTTGACTATGTCATTTTTGTTTGAAAACTCTGAACACACTGGGAGATTTAGTTAAGAAAGTAGACCATGCAAGAGTATAGGCACCCCAGTTACGTTCTATACCTCCATGCAATTTTAGATTCCAAATATTGAAAATCCTTGTTTTGATGATGCAAAAGCTAATCTGGTTGGTGGTCCATTTCCCCAAGAATCAAGTCTGCAGCTTGGGAGTACTTTGAATACTCAAGTTACAACAAAGCATTTTTTAAAACCAAGTTATGTTGGATTGCTAGCTGTGGACAGAGGGGTCTTGCCAGTCATTCATGCCTTGGTACCTTGGAGAACTGATTGCTGCAATGTCCTGCATATAGGGCTTCCCTGGAAAACTATTCAAAAACTGCAGATAGAGCAGGAAATACCTTTTTTCCTGGGCCTGACTGCTCAGAACACACACTGCCAGTACAGAAATGTGTTTTTCACCAGCTTCCAATTTGTGAGTGGAGGCTATTCATGGTGCTAGTGTCAATCTACAAAACTACATAGCTTGGGATCGAGGTAATGGTGCCTTTCCCCCACATGAACCTACCTGCTCACCATGATCTGGTTCAGAGGTCTTGCTGCAGGTTCTGCCAGCTGGAGAACCAAAGTGGGTAGCAACCAGAGACATTGCCTTCTATGGGGTGGCACCCTTGCCAGTTGTAGTTCAACCCCCATAATGGATTAATTTTATTTTGCTGGCCTGTTTTATTTCCCTGCTTTAGGTTGCAATACTATGCTCACTTACCTGGAATTAAACTACACTGAACAAAGTTATGTTATGTTATTATGTTTTATGTTATTTATTATTATTATTATTTGAATTTATATTCTGCCCTATACCTGGAAGTCTCAGGGCAGTTCACGGACCAAAATCAAAATATAAAACCACAAAACATATAATCAAAATAAAAACAATAACCCCCCCAAAAAACACATTTTAAAAGGGCATAGGACGAAGTTGGACTTACTCATGAGTAAACAAGCAAAGGCTTGTGCTGTTCCACCCTGTTCTCGGTGTTTACCGCTGCTTTTAGTGTTTATTGCTGCTGTCTACAATGCAGATAATATTTGCCTATTTTATTTAACCTGTTTTATTATTTATTAGCCGCCTTTGCCAGACAGTCCTAAAAGATTAATTCTATCAAATGAAGACATAATTAATCCCACCGGGTAATAAAAGGCATTGAACCAACGAAACGCATAACATTTGTGGATTTTCTAATATTAACAATTCAGCCCGGTATTGGCGCTGCAACTGTTTTGCACTCTTTAGACATCTGTTATCTTTGACACAGGTAGTTTTCCTGCCCTCCAGAGTGAAGGCGGTGCTTCCAGAGTGACATCACGACCTTGCCCAATCAGCCTCTTCGGAGGCTGTGACGCTGCGCCCGAAAGTTCCCTTCTTCTGGGAATGGTAACATTGGCCGGTTTCCTTTCCATTTTTGAGTTGGCGGTGCAAGTGCAGCATCGCGCCCGCAGGAAATCCGACGTCTTCGAAACCGGCTCCCGTTTCTTTCTGGATCTATGCCCCCCTCCCCCGCCTAGGAAAAACAAGCAGCATCAGGAGCTTTCCTCCACGGTGCTGTTTTTGTTTTCCACCCCCACCTTAAAATAGAGAGGGTGAGAATCACGCAGCAAACCGTGGGCGCGGATCCGAGCTCTCCATTTACGCGCGTCCCGAGTCCCGTGTTAACGGTTTCGATTCTCTTCCTGGATTGATAGCTAATCCAGAAAGTTCGCAGGCTGGAATCGGGACAGGATTGGCAGGGAAGCCCAGATTTACAAGCCGCTCCGGGCCTTTTAAGAAACAAATAAATCGAGGGGCAACCTTCTCCAACGGGGGAGGGCGCAAAAATTAAAATACAGGCACACGGGTATATAAGTCGATGGCTGAAAAGTGCCCCCCCAGCCAGATCTGGCGGAGTTAGGTGACCCCCCCACCTCCCTAACGTTAGGTGACCCCCACCTCCCTAATATTTCCACAGGGTTAGGGGGCTCCTAAGTTCCGCGCAAGGACCGGGCTACTTTTCTATGCGGTCCCGGTGCGCTTTTGCGCCCCTCCACGTGCTCTCTCTCTCTCCTCCAGAAGTCCCGGAGAGAGAAATAAAGAGTTTGAATCTCGGGGGTTTATTCCTATTATCATCATCACCATCATAATCAAAGCGAAAGAGTGCGCGAAGCTGCTGCAGACCGAGAGCAAGAAAGAAAAAAAAGTCCCTCCCCAAATTAGAGAGGCGCGTAGGTGTGAAGAGCGAGAGAGAGAGAGGCTGCGGTTCTCGCACCGGCTGCTCCAAAAATAAAAAATCGTGTGTGTCCACCCCCCCCTCCCTGCTCGGGGTGGGGAGGAAGAGCAGGAATTAAAAAAGAAAAGAGGGAGGGGGGGTTGTTGCAGCAGCAGGAAGAGAAGGAGATCCTCCCAGGAGACGGAAAAGGAAAGCAGGGGAGAGGAGGGCTGCTCTCCTCCTCCCCGCCCTACGCGATCCCGGCGGCGGCAGGAAGGGAAGGGGCGGCCAGGGGAGGAAGGAGGAGGAAAAGGAAAAGAGGGAGAGGAGGGAGGGAGCTGCCTGCCTGCCTGGGCAGAGGGGGAGGGGCCCGCTGCTGCTGCTGGGCTGAGCGGCGGCAGGAGCGCTGGGGCCTTGGACACGTCGAGCCGCGGGAGGAAGGCGGAGAGGAGCCCGGGAGGGGAGCGCGGAGACGCCGGCGGCCCCCGAGCGCCCGGCCCGCTGGGCGAAGGAGAAGGAGCTCCCCGAGCAGAGCGAGCCGCGCACGGAGTCAAAGCGGGGAGAGAAAGAGGAGCAGCCGCCGCCGAGACAAAGAGCGGAGCCCGCCGGGGAGAGCAGCCTGCTCCTTGCCGCCGCCTCCTGCCATTATTAATCCTCCGCCCGCGCGCCTGGCCCGGGGAGCCCCGACGCGCCCGGAGGAGCGGACCACCGGCGGGTCTCCCCTTCCTCCCGCCAAGCCAGGTAAGGCGAGAGCCAGCGAGCAAGAATATCGCCAGCCGCCATAAACTTGGAGAAGTTGAGGGGGGCGGGCTCGGGGGTTTGAAGCCCCCTCGGGGACCCGCTCTCCACGCCCGTCCCGTGGCCGCGGGGCCTAGCAGGCGCGCCCCGTTGGGGATGCGGGGAGGGCGCACGGAGAGAAGGCAGCCTGCTTATGGACGGGCTGCCTCCGCCCTTCTTCTCCCTTCGGTCTCTCTCCAGCGCCGGGTTTTGCGACGGCGGGGTGGGGGTGGGGGAGGAAGAGAGAGGCGGGGGTGGGTGGGTTAAAAAAAAAGATTCAACATTTTTAAATCCCCCCCCCCGCTCTGATTTATAGATCACATAAATCAAGGGGTCGTGACGGAGAGGGAGGGACTTTTCGGGGGGTGGGGAGTGGGGAAGCAGCTGCCTTCGCCTGCCCCCGCCCTCGGAACTATGGACGACTATTGTGGAATCCGGGGGAGAAATGGAAAAGGGTGCGTTTGGGAATAGGGGTTTTATTTCCACCCCATGGGGTGGGGTGGGGGGCAATCTCAGGCATCTCGAAAGAAAGAAGGGACTAGGTTTCGGGTTTTGTTTTGTTTTGTTTTCAGGCGGGGGGGGGGACAGAGAGGAGGAGGAGGAGGAAAGAAGAGGCGGGGTGGTCCAGACGGAGAAGTGCTGGGTGTTGCAAAGCACTGCGTGGGGCGGGGAGATTGGGGGGGGCGGAATCTAGGTGTGTGTGTTTTTTTGGGGGGGGGGGAGGGGACGATGAGGCTGAAAGTAGAGGTGGGAGTTAACTCCCCACACATCGGTCTGCATAGGAGATCATTTGCTGTTTGCAAAAAAAGGGGGGGCGAGGCACCAGGTCTAGCTCTTTTCTTTTTTTTTACTCCTTTGTGGACTGGAAGAAGTGAGGGAGCGGGACAGAGGGATTAAATATATGGCAAGAGTGGTGGCTCTAGAGAAGTGCTGAAGGGGGGGCGCGGGGGAGCTGTTTTTTAAATGGAGAGAGAAGCAGTGGCTTATACTAGCTGATTATTATTATTTTTGTATCCCGAAGCTTTTAAGCATAAATTAGATGGATGTCTCAAGAGCATTATGTTACTCCCCGTATATGAAGAACAATATAGGGTGGTTGCAACAGAGCATTCTAAAGCTTCACATCTAGGTGACTAACCTGTGACCCTGCAGATGTCGCTAAACTATGACACCCATCATTTTTTATTATTCGCTGGGTGGGGTTGATAGGAGTTTAGTTCAGCAACATCTGGAGGGCTTCAGGTTAGCCCCACCTGCTTTATTTAAGCACCACTATTAAGACACCTCTGCCTTTTGCTAAGTACTACTGCTACTTTTATTATTGTATGTAGATAGTCACTTAGTGTGATTATAGTCAGTCCTGAAGCTTGTCTACTTGCAGTAAGGCCTATAATTGTGCATAGGGTAGATTCAGCTGAGCTGTTTTGGGTGTAATGCTTACTACTTTCGTCTTCCATGTTACAGTTGATGGATCATCTTAAAACACTGAAATCTGTATTCTTTGTTAGCTTTTACTTAGCGCCATTTCAGATTTTTGTGCAGAGGCAAGCTCAGGTACACTCTGCAGGAAGCTGCAGCCAATCCCTGACAAGTACACCTGTATGATATACATGTTTGCTACATTCACATATTTAGGTGTATGCCAGTCTTGGGCAATAGCACCCTCTCAAAACATGGATTGAGAGGTGCATGCATCAGTTTGCATTGTTGGGAGTTTGGCTCAGTCTAGGTTTGGTCTGTGGGCATGTATCAGGGATGGGCAGAGCTGAATATTCAAATTTTAGTTTTCAGGAGGGTTCATAATATTTTAACAGCTACTTTCCCTAATGTTGAAGCACCTCAAAGGTGTTTCATAAATGGCCCTTCTTTCAAGTTGGACTTCTTGAAATCATATTGAAAGTGTTTTGGATTTGCTACACAAGGAATTAAAGTGAGGAAGACTGCAGAATTTGCTTGGAAGAAATTATAACCATACTGTACTCCTTAATATGGACATTACTGGAATAGTTCTGCTTTGGTTTTCCCCACAGTGCCTCTGTCCAACATAGAGAAGATGATTTACTACTTCTCTAGAAAACAGGGGACCTTGGGATATATTCACGTGACTTAAATGATCATTATCTAACTGGATATCGGAGTAGTTAATATGTGTGTAAATAATAAAGCATAAAAGAGTGCACACTGCTTAGTCATCTTCACATAAATAGCCGACTCTGTTTACCTTCACTTATGTGAAAATAGCTTTGATGCTCTATAGGGAACTTAAGGGTAAAGAGTTGGTCTCTAAATCAGCCTTGATGGTTTTTACTATTAGCAATAGAACTCTGGAATCTTGGGTTTTTAAAAAAATTCTGATGTTGTAAATTTCATTTACTTTATGGTGATACGTTCAGAAGATAAATTATGTCAGCAGATAAGTGTGATTTGCTATTGATTATTTTAAGGCATTCATTCAGAGTATTTATAAATCACTTTTTAGACTCAAAGCATCATATATAAAAAGGTACAAGATAAATTGAGACACATCAAATAGGGTACGATTATTATGAGAAAATTGTTTTCTGAGGCATGCATATCATTTGCACACTTGAGAAAAGGCAGCTGTGAAAATCAGTTTGCAAGCCCCACTTAAAGGCCTGTACTTAAAAGGAGCCAGGCATAACCAGAAAGGAGCCCCATAACTCTGGAGCCATCACTGAGAAGGCCCTGTCTCTTATGCATGCCAATCTTTACATCAGCAAGACTTTTGATATTGGTGTATGTGCAAGCTAACCTATTTCCAAATTGATTTAAAGGTTCATATGAGCACGTTGGGCCCGGAAACATAGCAGTAAACCTGTGGTCTCTATGATGTCCACAAAGTCTTTTTTTAGTGATCTCCCAACTGCTATCTTCTCCGTCAGGAGACCATCCCATTACAGTGCTAGGCTGAGATGTTTAAACCTCTTATGAGTGTACCTGCATGTATGGTACATAAGGTGTATGTTTTGCTGGCCATTTTGGCCATGATCACCCCTGGTGTGTGGCTGTTTGGAGGGTTAGTGAGCTTTGAGCTGAAGACGGTTTGCATCAGTTGCATTGCTTATTAGAGAGGCGGCAAACACAAGTGTTACAGGTTCAGATGGCCCCCACTAGCGTTTGGATGCCTACATTTTATAATGACCTGAGTTTCCAAACCTCCCCGACAGTCCTGCAACACAGGTAGTCCCATCTTGGAGGAGCTGATTCATGGGTAACTGAGATAGGGCTGGTGGACAAGCCTGCACTGGGAAAAGGCACATCTGGCCACTGCTTTATGTTTTCAGGAGTGTGGCCCCCCCCCAAATATTTGGTTCTTTACTGCCCTATCCAGAACTGGTTTAATACCTCCCTATAGCAGGAGTAACCAGAGCCAGGAGTAACCAGAGGGTGTTTGCCACTGTACCGATGGTGTCTTTTTACTTACTTCCATATAGGAGAATGGGGGCTGCATTTGAGGTCTAGATTGTGCCAAACAGTCCTAAAAATATGTACCTCGTAGCAGGTAACTTACCTGGCCCTTCTCATACACATCCTGCCTGCCGTAATGGACATTTATTAAGAACTGTGCAGAACACTGTTGTTGGAAGTGAGGTCAGGACAGCTGTTCTGCTTTAGGAGTGGGTGTGGTGTGATGAGTGAGGATGTCATCCAATGGTCATTGTGGATTTTGGAGGAAAGTAACTCTCCTCCTCTCTTTGCTCTCCTCAGATATGATTTCGCTAGTTTAGTAAATAAGGGCATATGTTCAGTGACATGTATTATTTAGTGCCTGTTTAATGTAGCTTTTATAAAGCATAGATCAGTTCACTTGGGTTTTCGTTTGAGTTTTTAGGGATATTTTCTAACTAAAAAGGAATTTGGTGTGATATTTGGAAAACAGTCATACCTTGGTTTGAATGTGCTTCAGGTTGAGCGCTTTCGGGTTGCGCTCCGTGGCAACCCAGAAGAAACGGAGTGTGTTACTTCCGGGCTTCACCACCCACGCATGCGCAGACACTCAAAATGACGTCACGTGCATGCGCGGAAGCAGCAAAACGTGACCCCCGCACATGCAGACGCGCAGTCACGTCTTATGTTCTATTCAGGATGTGAATGGGGCTCTGGAACAGATCCCGTTCGCATCCCGAGGTACCACTGTACTTCACTAGGAAGGGGCATATGGCTGCAGTGGTGCAACACTTCAGTAAAACCCATTTCACAGGCTTCCTATAACAAGTGCTGATGTATAGGATTAGGGGCTAAGGCACTCACCCGATTGTGTACTCTGGAATAACTACATTGATTTTGAGGGACTTCTTTCACACCTTGTAGCTATATATGAACTTCAGATGTATATTGGTATGTAATGTTGGTTGTATTTTATATTCTCTTCTGCGTGGAACGAATGCATTTTTTAAAAAAGAAAAAGCTATGGCCTGTATATCGGGATTCATCAACTGACTTGAAAACAACTATTAAAAGTTGCTTCATTATGTTGTTTTGAAGCATGGTTTCTTTTCCAAATTTGTTTCTGTTAACTCACTTAAATTCATTAGTTCTCAATGATCCGTTGAAATGCTGTTTTATATATATAGCCTCTAGTTGGTTACCGAACATTAGGTAATGCTTTGCAAGACATTGTCCTAGGCTACTTTTGCTCAATGATTTATTAAGCTAACAATCTAGCGCAGGTTTTTGTAGAAGGGAAATCATTTCTTCCAGCAGTATACCTTTTTTATATTACAAGTGCAACCCCATGCACGCTTACTTGAAATTAGTAGGACTTACAAGTAAATTATATTTAGGATGGGTGACTGTAAAATAATAGCTACTTTACTCAAAACAATATGGAATTCATTATAAGCCATTTGAGCAGGTACCATAGCATTTCTTTGTTCTCCATCTAGCACTTAAGACACTCTTTGGTATTGATTGTTATTAAAGGGCAATGACTTGTAGTAATAGTACAATTTGATGGTTTTAATGTGGTATGGGCTGGTGAACATCCTCATGAGCGAAAGATTGAAAAGGAGATAAGTTTTAAGGATAATCAGACAACAATTTAGAACTGGTAAATAATGGTTTGAAACTTGGCGATGGAGAATAGTGCCAAGAATAATGGAAATTACTGCTAAGAATAATGAATAGTATTGAAAAATGCTAGTAAATAGGTGATGGATGGGATGGGGAAAACGTTCTGTAAAACAAGAAACAAATACAAAATTAACAGAAGTATAAATAATAAAAAATGAATGGAAATAAAGCAAGAACGCTATGCTACTGACCTAGCTAGAGCTGAAACTTTTGAATCTTAAGGAGGTGCCTCACATGACATTTTTTCTACTGTGTTGTTAATTTCTAAACAGTTTGCATCTTCACTTGAGCAGTTTGCTATAATGCTTTTCTGGAAATGGGGGGGGGGGGGAGTCCAGGAAGCTGATGTCCACAGAGGACTCTCAACCTATGTTCTCAAAACAAAATAAATGCTGTTAAAGTTGATTGTATATGTGCTTAGATTTCTTTGCTTAAAGATTGCGATTTTTCCAATGAGCAGATTATGGCCTGGTTTGTGCATAACAGTAAGCCTCAGTTAAACTATGGCATTCCAGGAATGAGCAAGCTTGCTTGTGCCCACTGCTCAAATCACACAGGACCCCTCTCCCTTTGCCACAGTGGGAACAGACAATCCAGGATGTTCCTTATTTCGTGAAAACCAGCACTTTGGGTTTGTTTCTCTGCAAACCATGAGAATAAGCCTGGAATAAACCATGGTTTACTTTTGTTACCTTCTTTGGATTTGAGAGAAACAAACTTTAGAGCTGGATTACGTGACATTAATCCACCACTCTGGTTTATGTCCCCCTGAGGGAGAAAATGTTGGATGTGATTTCAGCAGTATGAGGAGTCTGCACCTTCAGTTTGTCCCAGTAAACCATAGTTTGGCTGGCTGTGTTGCATGAGCCAGGCCATTGTGACAGAAACTTATTTTTCCTATGAAGGTAAAAGCTTGGTATTATGTGGCAAAATTGTTTTTGTGTTAAAGAAAACCTGCATTGTTTGGGAGGCAATTATGTTGCAGGGAGAGGGGGAATTGTCTACAAAAGTCTTCCATGTGGGAATGTATTTCTCAAAACTTCTTGTTGCAGTAAGTCCTTATGCTATTGAAGGAATTTATTGCTTGAACTAGCAAAATGGGTTTTGAACATACTTGTTGTGGTTTGCTTTAGTTTCTGCAGTGTTTTAAATACTTTCAACAATGGGTTTGAAAGGCCAACATAGCACTGTTGAGAAGCCCTGGATAGAATTTATGCAAGTTTGTGCAAGCCAGAGGTAAACCTGATGTGGCCCTATTTAGATAAATAGGAGTCAAGCGCTTGAGCTCTCCTGATCTGAGTGATTACAGCACCCATGGTCTTTATTGAAATACCTCAACCGTATACAGGTTACTCCCAGGTACGTGTCGTCTTGGACTGCAGCCTTAGAATACTTTCAGAGTTAGTAGGCATGAACCGAGGAATGAGCATCCATTTTGTGTATTCTACTCACCCAGATCCGCTTGCAGATTTAATTAATTACATTTAATCATCTTGTCACGCACTGCATTATTCTCTAGTGTTTTACAGTAAACCTAAACAGATAACTTTTCTTTGGATTCAGTCTATGCTTTACGTGTTGCATTGCGATAATCTTGCCGTCTCGTGGAAGATACAAAGTATTGGATTTTCCACTTTTATCAAAATAATAGACAGCTAATTGGAGCAAAACATTAAAATCAGGATTAGAAAATATTACAAATTTTATGTGTCTGAACTAGGGTTTAGAAGACAAAACTGAACAGGGGGGAAACAGATTTTCCGGTGCCCAGATGATCAGAGATTTTTTAGCTTTTTGAAGCCTTACTCAAAATTTATACACAGATGGCTCACAAGGCTTAGGTGCTTTAAACAAAGTAGTGCACACTTCAAGTTGGCGTGTTCGGTGAAGGAGTCTCTCCCAGTTTAACAACACTACTTTTATTTGAATTGTAAAGGTAGTAGTGGTACTTCGGTTCTCTAACATAATCCATTTCGGAAGACCGTTTGAGGTCTGAAACGCCTGAAAACCGAAGCTCAAAGGGCTGCCTGCAAATTCAATTGAAAAACACGCAGCGGAAGCCATTCGAATTCTGAGGCGTTTTCGAAAATAGAAGCATTTACTTCCGGGTTTTTGGCGTTCGGGTTCCGAAACGTTTGTCAACGGAGACGTTCGAGAACCAAGGTACCACCATATAATGCATACTGGTCTTTACCCAAAGGTGATGCCTCTAAGTAGACTGAATGTGGTTCCAGCCCACCTCCTGCTGTTTTTCTCAGCAAATCACTTCACTCTACCCTCCTCCCATTCCAAGTGAGAGCAGAGAAGAAAAGTGAGCTCAAACCTTGCTTAATTCTTCAAAACGCGTAGGTGCTGCCTCTTGCAGAAGACCCGGTAATCCTAAAATATCCCCAATTCATTTGGATGCATTTTCCATTCAGTATTGTTGAAACAAAGGGTACTGTTTCTCCAGTGACAAGTTTATTACATTTCTGTCCCACCTTTCCGCAGGGACCTTTATTTTCTTACAATAAGACGGCACCCCTGGTTCTTCTTCCCCCCGCTTGCCTCCGCCCATTTATCCTCAGAACATCAAATATTATGTACAGTTTGATATGACGCATGGGAACAGCCAATCAACCAACATAAGCTCGAAGCAATCAGGGAAGCAAAACGTATGCATAACTGAATAAAACGGCGTCCTAGAATAAATTTGCAGCTTTGCATATGCTAACTAAGAATTTGTCTGATTCTGTTAGTAACAATATTTCCCGCCCCCCCTTGCTGAATAATTCCTTCGTGGTTATTTGCGCCCAGTACATTTTTGTGGTATTTAGGTACTGTATCTGGTGGTCTATAAAATATTATTCTAAGTGGTTCTGAAATTTTAACTAATTCGTTTACTTGTAGGTTGTTACGGTTAATGTCAGTACAGTTGTACCTTGGATTTCAAACGCCTTGGCTCCTGAACAAATGGGCTCCCAAACAATTGGAACCTGGAAGTGACTGTTCTGCTTTTTGAACTTTTTTTGGAAGCCAAACAGCCAACTCGGCTTCCGATTGGCTGCAGGAGCTTCCTGCAGCCAATCAGAAGCTCCACTTTGGTTTCTGAACCTTTTCGGAAGTTGAATGGACTTCCAGAACGGATTCTGTTCAACTTCCAAGGTACCACTGTATTAACTTTTGAGGAGTATTTTAGTCTGTTGATGAATTACCGTACTGCCCGAAAGTTTACTGTTATTAAGTATGGCTAAGCAAGGATCCCAAGAGTGTTCTTCTGTATATATTTGAAAGAGTGTTGATAAATTTATATCAGCAGGTATAAATCTATAGGCTGAAATGTCAAATGAAAGTAAAATAAGGTGCTTTTCAGTACCATTAACACACTAATTACCAGTTAAAAGATCCAATGAACTCTCAAGTTAATCTGTGGTACTGTTAACAGTTGATACTTTGCAGTTGATTAGTAGAGAATCATCTTCATAGTTAGCCAGGAAATGATCCAGAATTAGAAGTTAGAGAAGACTGTGTTCTAGCCTGACAGCTGAGCATGGCAATACATTTTGTTCTCTTCACCACCTACACTTATTATGCTTGGAGGAGATGGTGGGGGGATGTAATCATGTCTATTGGCTTTGTAATCAGTTCAAATGCCTCCATCTTAAATACACTTCGGAAATCTTAACCCCAAAGTTTAAATGGATGGGAAAGCTTGAGAGATTTCCGGATCAAGTCTTGTTTTTATCAGAAGGTAAAATAGAATGTGCACAAAGGTACACAATGGCTGCTTTGTGCTAGTGGGAAACACTTGTGCAAGACTGGGCCCCTGATTTTCACTGCTTCTTGCACCTCCTGAAAGTTGCAGCAGTATGGGATATTGTAAGGTGCTCTCGTAGGTAGGGGAGGATTGGTGAAATTGGTTGCCCCACTTTGAGTGATGGGTGGCTAGCCTAGTCCAAAGCCAACCCAATGAGCCTGATTTGCTGATGGAATGATAGGTTGTTCAGTGAACTATCTATAAAATTAGAGAAAAATAGAAAAGTTTGATGATAGGGGTATATGTCAGCTGAAGGGCACTTCCATGCTTTTTAAAATGGGATTTGCTGCTATGGACTAATACAGGTATAATATTCCTGGACTCAGGTGCTACTAATATAGCATTCATAGACCTACCTCAAATGATCCCTTAGTTAGACCAACCAGTGTATTTTTATTTTATTTTAAGTATAAACTGTTGTTAGCATTAATGCAAATCCCTAGTGATGATATGTGTGTGTGTCAGATAGAAGCCTTTTAAAAACCTTATAAAATGTTGAGCAGAGAGAAGAATTATTCAAGAGGAATAATAGTCCATTTGTCACAGAGAAGATTGGGTTTGGTGTGGAAGACCCTTCTGATGGGTTGGGGTTTTGAGGAAATGTGGCTCAAAATAAGGCAGTCTTTCTTGCAACAGAATTATTAGGGTAAGTTAGAAGAATTATCTTTCATTAGATAATTGATCAAACCAGTGTCCACTGAACTGGGGAGTTACACCGAACTCTACTTCAAGCCTGAATATTTAAAGTACAATTTTAAATATCAGGAATTTTTATGTCTGGGGGATCCTACTGCTGATAGTGCTTATAACCTTCCTGAGGAACACCTTTATTTTATTTTATTTACATTTCCTCTGCTTCCTTAAAATCTAGACTGAGAGACAGACGGAGCGTTTTCTGTAACACAGATCCTTGCATATTTTTTTTGTCGTTATGTATTTTCTCAATTAACAGAGTCTGAAATTGCAACAGTTAGCATGTGGGGGTTCACAAAACATTTTTGAGGTGAGAAAGGGGTCTTTGTACTCATAAAGATTTGGAACCACTGATCTAGGGAGAAATGTAGGAATAATTTCTCAGCAGACGTTTTTCTCCATTGCCTTCATCATTTATTTTTGCTTGCTTATGTTTTGTTTTTGTTTTCTGCTTAAAAGCTGCAATTTATCCTTTCTATTATTTCCTCCTCAGATCTGCACCGTTGCTGCAACTATTTCCCAAAGCACACCTATTTTAGGAACTGCCTTTATTTTTATACGGAAGTGCAACTTGGATTGTCACCTTCCCAAGTTACAATATGTTCCTGGCAGATAGCTTAATCTTACTGCTCTTTTTACAGCTTACTTCTGTTTGTAGGTGCTTTTTTGCACAGCCCTTTAAGACAAGACTAGGCAAGACAAGTCCAAGTACCTGCAAACAGCTCCCAAGAAATCCTGTGGGGTGCTGTGATTTGTGCCTGGACTAGTTCTTTAATAGAAGAATGATCCTTCGAATGAATGAATGACTGGCAGAGCTTTGGTTAATAAAAAGTACCATCTGAACACAGCCTTCATAAAGCTACTTGAAGGTTTACATTGTCTTGAAGGTTGAGTTAGCCTCCTCAGTGGTTGTTTTGCCACTACCGTTGTCATCCCATTTTAAGGGAAGGAGAAAGAGGGTAATATATGCATAGAACACTATACAGTGGTACCTTGGGTTACATATGCTTCAGGTTACAAACTCTGCTAACCCAGAAATAGTACCGCGGGTTAAGAACTTTGCTTCAGGTTGAGAACAGAAATTGTGCTCCGGCGGTGTGGCAGCAGCAGCAGGCCCCATTAGCTAAAGTGGTGCTTCAGGTTAAGAACAGTTTCAGGTTAAGAACGGACCTCCGGAACGAATTAAGTACTTAACCTCAGGTACCACTGTAACCTGAATTAAACAAAACAAGAGGTATGAATGTACTGTTAGATATGCTGTATAAGTGCTAATGTAAAATGTGAAAGATTGTGATAAAAGGCAGACAGTCTTTATTGCCATGTGCACATACATGCAATGAGTTGCTGACCCGTCACACAGTGAGGTTTTCTATCTCTGGTTCCCCTAGATTTTATATTCATGTTGCAACCTTCAACTGCAGTCGTACCTTGCTTTCCGAACAGCTTAGTTCTCGAACGTTTTGGCTCCCGAACGCTGCAAACCCGGAAGTGACTGTTCCGGTTTGCGAACTATTTTTGGAAGCTGAACGTCCTGTGGGGCTTCCGATGGGCTGCAGCCAATCAGAAGCCGCACTTTGGTTTCTGAACGTTTTGGAAGTCGAGCGGAGTTCTGGAACGGATTCCGTTCGACTTCCAAGGTATATTTGCTGGAGGACCTGTTGCCTGGCTCCCACAATAATTTTGAGCCCTGCTTAGATCCTCTGATTCTCCACCTTTGCCTTTGGGCATCAAGAGCAAAGGTCATGGTGGACCTAAAGGCAAGCCTAGATTTGCCTTGTTGGCTCTCGGACAGTGACTCAGCAGTGGCTCAGAGACAGGAGGAGGTGACAGAAAGTATACAAGGCTATTGGTCTGCCCTGGACCTTTGCTGGGTCTTCAGACCTTCTGCTCTCATGCCATTTCATGAAAAGTCAGTAGTTGACTAAACTAGCTTATGACAGAGGGGATTTAAGTTCTAGTGGCATGTCTATTCCTCCCCACACCCGCCCCAGTTCCAATATTGCAGCCTTTCTCAACCTGTGGGTCCCCAGATGTTGTTGAACTACAACTCCCATCACCCCTAGCTAGCAAGGCCAGAGCTCAGGGATGTTGGGAGTTGTAGTCCAACAACATCTGGGGACCCACAGGTTGAGAACCACTGCAATATTGTGTTTAGACCTCTAGAATGTATTCTGTTGCGATTAATCGCCGGTGTGTGACATGGCCAAATTACAACAATGGGTATTTTGTGAAGCAATACATTTTCATGTATAGCTAACAGCGACGAGTTTAATAATACACCAAAAGCCACATTCCTCTATGCTGCTGTTGTTGAAATGTAGCGATGTATCATTTCTCTTAACTACAGTCAAAACATTTTCCTGGCAAATGTCCAAGGATAAACAGCAGAAGTCAATAACCAAAGTCTTCAGCTGTGGGGAAAAGTTTATCCTGCTTAAAGTGCGTATAGGCCTCTGAAATGTGTTACTTTTAATTAAGCGAAGGACAAAACTCCATTCTCGAACAGTATCACAAGCAGTAAGGGACGGATACTTTAGCCATTGAAGGGGTCTTAAGTTGACTGTTTAGCCAATTTGCTTTTTAAAAACAAAAACCAAACTTATTGCACATCTGTTGAGTAGAGATATGAAATCCTGGGAAATAAACTCTGGGAACATTCAAGGAGGGGAATGGTCCTTACTCATTTGTGTTTCTTCTCAGAATTATTGGAAAAATTGGAAGTTTGGGGAAACACTTAAAAACCTTTTGAAATACATATTTTTAGAATGAGTACAATGTTTTTAAACACTTTTAAAAATGTAAAATACTCTATGGCATTAGAGAATCACAATCCTGGCATACAGCTAACTAGTCAAAGATGCATTTCTGTACCTAAAGGGTCCTGCCCTCTTCCTGACAGGAGTATAAAAAGCCGTCATTGCACATGAAGTGCCTATTGCCTTTTTCTAGTGACTTTTGATCTAGTTTGGAGATGCTGGAAGCAAATAGCCTGCTTCGGCTTTCCTGTTGACCTACGTCTTCCTGGTTAACCTTTTCCATGTCTCCTAATCACCCTCCTACACATTGGGAGTCAATCAGTTTATTGCCCTGCCTTGCTGGGTAATAAAAAGGTCAGAAGAAAGCAGGGCAGAAACTGCAGAAATTCTCCTTATGGGTGGCAAAACCTCAGAGGAAAAAATTCATCCGTTTTGGGTGACTTGTACAAGGAAGTGGAGCACAACTGGGTATATTCACAAGTTTGTTGGTATGAAACAAAGTCATTTATGGTTTTAAATAGGCCAAATGGTACCATTTTATATTTTAATTAAGTTAAAAGTGATGCATTTCATTTGTTCGAGCAACTAATAAAGTTTTGTTTGGATAAGGAAGTAAATATTGCACATATCTCCCCCACTACCCATTTTGTGTGTGTCCCTCCCTCCCAATGAAATGTGGTGGGGAAATATGGGAAAACAAGTTTTTCTCCACAGCTTTAAATGTTTCTGGAGATTTTTACGTTTCTACTATTAAGATGTGATTCTATCTTCCATTTTCCCATCTGGCGCTGGGTGACCTTGGGCTAGTCACACTTCTTGGAAGTCTCTCAGCCCCACTCACCTCACAGAGTGTTTGTTGTGGGGGAGGAAGGGAAAAGGAGAATGTTAGCCACTTTGAGACTCCTTCGGGTAGTGATAAAGCGGGATATCAAATCCAAACTCTTCTTTTTCTTCTTCTTCCTTCCTTTTTCTCCCATCATCCACCAAAATCAATTTGGACTTCTTTAACGTGCCAGTTTGTCACTTAAGAAATATTACTTATAAAATCTGGCAATCCCACAAATTCAGGATGGGATAGAGAGATACTTGGAATTTGTCCTTTGACAAATGATCTAGAGAAGGAACAAATGCAAATGATCAATTATTTTGGTTCACAACAAATAGTGAGCAGCGCAGAGATTATCTTTAGGTGTGACTGTCCGCCTTACCATATGGAGCAAAACAGCTGCGTTCTGCAGCCAAGATAAGAAAATTTCCTTCTATTTTTATACTATTCATTGGGGAAATGTGTGTGTATATGATTGGGAGAAGATGGCGGGAGGGAGAGAAAGCTGTTAGCAATCTTAGCTCTTCCCTTTTTAAACAGTGGCAGTGCCCTTGACTTCCCCAAACATCACATACTCAAGTTTTAGGCTTGCTCTTTTTGGTGTAGTGTTTAACACCAAGACAGCAACATAGAATGGGGGGAATACAAAACCTATTTTTGGTGGCATGCTACCACAAGCAACGGGGACGCGGGTGGCGCTGTGGGTTAAACCACAGAGCCTAGGACTTGGCAATCAGAAGGTCGGCGGTTCGAATCCCCACAACAGGGTGAGCTCCCATTGCTTGGTCCCTGCTCCTGCCAACCTAGCAGTTCGAAAGCATGTCAAAGTGCAAGCAGATAAATAGGTACCGCTCCGGCGGGAAGGTAAATGGTGTTTCCGTGCGCTGCTCTGGTTCACCAGAAGCAGCTTAGTCATGGTGGCCACATGACCCAGAAGCTATACGCCGGCTCCCTCAGCCAATAAAGCGAGATGAGCGCCGCAACCCCAGAGTCGGCCACGACTGGACCTAATGCTCAGGGGTCCCTTTACCTTTACCTTACCACAAGCAACAGCAGAATTTTGAGTGGTTTTATTTTGCTTAATTTTATTGCATTGGTGGTTTGTGGGTTAATGGTTTTTGTAACTTTAAATTTATATACCACCCTGAAATCTATTTTTAGATGATGGGTGGTTTATTATTATTATTTTTTAAGAAATACATATAATGGAGATTTGTGCGATTAGCAGGTTGGTGCCTTTTGGCTGGAGTGATGATAATTTACCTGAGGGCTGGCTTTTTTTGGTGCCATCGCCTTTGCAACTGTAATATGCGTGTTAGTCCCAAAGTTATGCTGAAGTTGGAGGATCACCTGACCTGAATGATGAGACTAAAGAACCAAGTTAGTAATTGAAACTGAATCTTTTCAATAACCTGAGGCCTTGTTACATTAATTTACTGTGCTGATCGGAGTAATATGAGCACTCGAGTGTCAAATCTGAAGAACTCTGCTACAGCAGATCTCTCTTCAGGATTCCCTGATGCCTGTCATTTAGATGCCGTCAAATGTGTGCACTTCATGATGAGGGCTCTCTTTGTGAAATTCCTGTCTGTAGAAAAATTCCATTTTGAAGCCCTAACTAATGGTATGTAATTTGATTGCCACTTATTGATCTTTGTCATGTAGAAAATATTAAGTTGATCAAGGATTGTTTCACTTCATCATGAATCCCTTGCCTGCCTTGGGAATAAAAGTATAAATTACTGTGCCGATAAGAGGTTTCATCTCAGCCTCTGTCCCCCCACCCCCAAATTCTTTATTTCTTGAAAAATGAATTTAAAATTGAATTCTGGATATATATTTTTCCTGTGAAACCTCAGCCACTGTTAAAACATGTACCTCCAGCACAGAGAAATGCTGTTTCTTTTTGCGCAGTGTTTAAGTATGCATGAAAATTGATAAATAAGGTAGGCTCTTCACATACTTAAAAAAAAAATGAAAAAATAGGGCCCTTGTATTTGTATTTAAAGGTAAAGGGACCCCTGACCATTAGGTCCAGTCGTGACCGACTCTGGGGTTGCGGCGCTCATCTCGCTTTATTGGCTGAGGGAGCTGGCGTACAGCTTCCGGGTCATGTGGCCAGCATGACTAAGCTGCTTTTGGCAAACCAGAGCAGCGCATGGAAACGCCCTTTACCTTCCCGCCAGAGCGGTACCTATTTATCTACTTGCACTTTGACATGCTTTCGAACTGCTAGGTTGGCAGGAGCAGGGACCGAGCGATGGGAGCTCACCCCGTCGCGGGGATTCGAACCGCCGACCTTCTGATCGGCAAGTCCTAGGCTCTGTGGTTTAACCCACAGCGCCACCAGTGTCCCTTAATTTGTATTTACCAGTGGATTAATTAAAGTTCCCCATCCCAACGTGCTTTATTTAACTTGGGTTTTGAACCACCATGGCCTTGTGCTGCTATTTGCATGTGCAAAATGTCCACGTAAATAATGAAACTTGATATCACTTGGTATCATTTTATGCATGTTTGATATTTACTTTGTACGGTTCACATCTGTGTACAGTGACGGCCCTGTATAAATGCCACATTATTGGAATTGCGTACTTGTTTAAAATAGGTTGGGCAAATACATTGCAGATAAAAACTGAAGGGGATTTTCCAATAATACTGAAAAGGCCTGCCGCAAGGTAGGTGTTTAGTGCGAATTCGTTTTGCCCCCTCCCCGCCAAAAAAAAGTATTGTGAAAGTTGTTCCTAAATTTAGACAAGCAAGGAGATTGTGTTCCAATTAGGCAGTGAATTGAAAATGATAGATACTGCAGCTAAGAGCTTTCAGTAGTGCATAGGTTGCTCTCTGGGTGGTGAGTTCCACTCCACAGTGTTCAGGTTATATAAATATTTTAATAACTTTTTTCATCCTTTACATCAAAACGAATGCTGCTTCCACCTTTTCGTTTCTCTCTTCCCTTCCCCCACTCAGTATCAGAGCTGTGATCTATTTACAGTAAATTGTCAGTACACCGTTGCTCCAGCTGTTTATGGAGCTTGTTTTGCCTTTTAATTTCTTAGTATGTCATTGTCTTTCATATTTAAACCTCATTTCTCTTTGGTCTCAATTCGTAAACTATTTTTCACTGTGCATTTTGTGCAGTCTTTTTCTGCGGGAGTAACAAAGCTGCTCCGAAATGACAGATACTGGGAAGAAACGAACATTTTAACAAGCCTGCTTAGCTGAGAAGAAGATAAAATGATTGTTTCACCTGATAGGCCTTGGGGATAAAAATGCAGATGCCAAGCCACTTGTTTTGATTGGTTAAAATCAGGAACAAGAAATCCTCTCCTCACATGTTGATGTGAGTAAATATGGATTCCAGAAATGCTTGGAAGGATCAGGGAACTTAGAGATGTATGCCATCCACAATCTGGCCGGCATTTACCCTTCTATCCAAGGAAGAATCTATAGAAATCCAAATTCCTTTAAAGATATGTCAATATTTCATCTTCATAACTCACTTTCACAGTCCATTAAATGGAGGATTTCTTGTGGGAACAGATTGAACTAGGATGGCTGACCATAGTATTGGCTCCCTTCATCTGTATATGCACTAAGGAGTAGCTGCTTTTTAAGTTCCTTATAGCTGACAAAACTCCTCTCACCAGTGAAATGTACGGTGCTGACTATGTGCTCCCATTTAATCTTTACAGCTTATTTTTGAACCATTCATGTATGTCAGGGGTGGCTAACCTTTTAGGTTCCATGGCCCAGATTGGTCTTGTGGGTAAAATTTATGACAGTGGATCTGGGCTGCCCACCTGTCAAACAACCTGGCGTCGAAGCAGCATCAGGTACAAAATGTTTTGAAGGCCATGGACTTCAATGCAGTTTGCAAGGTCCTTCTTAAGGGCAGTGTCACCCCCTTCATTTTAGCAGGGGATTTCATGCAAAACGTTTCCTGAATCATGAAAGGGTTTGCATGAAATCCTGCCAAACTAAAGAGGATTTAACTCCCTGCTCATTACCTTAAATCCTGCAGATATGGTTGTATGCCTTTGCTCCCTTCTGAGAATAGGCAAGCAGTCAACTCTGGGTTTAACCCCACCCCCTGCTATTGGCTGACATTGCAAGTGATGTCAAGTTGATGGGCAGGTGGACATTGTTTGGAGAAGATGGCCACATTGGCCAACAGGGACCCCTAGCCAAGTCAAGATTGGCCCACAGGCCAGAGGTTCCTACTCCCCATGTATGCGTTGGTACAAGCTAAGCTAGTCCTTTTCATTTCCCCCCACTTTCAGTGCATAGGACTGCAGAAAGCTTATGTGTAAGGGCCTAGCCCGATGTTATATGAGCCTCATGGCTGCCACTGAAAACAGCAGTCCCCTATTGCCATATCATCTCTATTCTGGTAATGTCTAATATTTTTGGCAAAGCATTTAAAGGGTTTTACCTCAGGACTCGGGACGCGGGTGGCTCTGTGGGTTAAACCACAGAACCTAGGACTTGCCGATCAGAAGGTCGGTGATTCGAATCCCCGTGATGGGGTGAGCTCCCGTTGCTCGGTCTCTACTCCTGCCAACCTAGCAGTTCTAAAGCACGTCAAAGTGCAAGTAGATAAATAGGTACTGCTTCAGCGGGAAGGTAAACGGCGTTTCCGTGCGCTGCTCTGGTTCTCCAGAAATGGCTTAGTCATGCTGGTCACATGACCCGGAAGCTGTACGCTGGCTCCCTCGGCCAATTAAGGGAGATGAGCGCCGCAACCCCAGAGTCGGTCACAACTGGACCTAATGGTCAGAGGTCCTTTTACCTTTACCTTAGGAAAACATTCTATTTCGTTAAAAACAAAAACCACTCCTCCCAACCTGAAAATGAGCACAGAGCAAGGGTTTGAAGTTCATATGGACCACTGCAGTGAGAACACATGCTGCAAACTCCCTCATACTAGGCCAGACTACAGTGGTACCTCGGGTTAAGAACTTAGTTCGTTCCAGAGGTCTGTTCTTAACCTGAAACTGTTCTTAACCCGAGGTACTATTTCTGGGTTAGCAGAGTGTAACCTGAAGCGTCTGTAACCCGAGGTACCACTGTATTTGCCCATATCAGCCAATAACGTCTTATCCAACTGGAAGTGGCACGGCAGGATCTTGTGCAGGAATCTTTCGTGTTCCTTGCTGCTTGCTGCTTTAAAAAAAGAAAACTGGAGATGCCAAGGATTTGAAAAATACTGATGCGCACCATGTGCTCTACTACTGCTCTGTGGTCCATCCCTTGAGATTTGAACCAGATATTTAGAGTGGAATCTTGAGCATGTGTCTAATTTTCAATCTGGTATTTCCGGCTTCCTTGAATACATAGGTTGGTTCAACCATTTCAGTTTGTCAGATGGCACGATCATCCTGCCCCCAGGCACTGTTCCGGGGTTTCTCACAGTGCATCCCACACCCCGAGCCAATTTCAGTGGGAAAGGGAGAGTGGGAACCCCATTACACTCGTGGAAGCTCAGGCTTCCACCAGTGGGACTGAATCCTGCCCATTGCATTTGCTCTCCCTGCCTTGTAAAAACTGGTGTGGGTTTTGAACTTGAAGCACACATTGTCTTCCAGATTGCATTCTGGTATCTTGATGTTCATTGTTGTCATATTATAACTAAACAAGCAAACGAAATGGAACGATAGTTTGCCTGGTTTAATCAAAGGCCTCCTTTTGCCTGGTCAACATGACATACCATGATGCCTTTTTACAAATTTTCTCTCCCCAGCAAGTCATGTTGTGTGTTTGTGAGTTACTAGGCTGCTGGGGTAGGGATGCGGGCTTGCCGATCAGAAGGTCGTGGTTCGAATCACCGCAATAGAGTGAGCTCCCATTGTTCGGTCCCAGCTCCTGCCCACCTAGCAGTTCGAAAGCACATCAAAGTGCAAGTAGATAAATAGGTACCGCTCCGACGGGAAGGTAAACGGCGTTTCCGTGGATTGCTCTGGTTCGCCAGAAGCGGTTTAGTCATGCTGGCCACATGACCTGGAAGCTGTCTGTGTACAAATGCTGGCTCCCTTGGCCTATAGAGTGAGATGAGCGCTGCTACCCCAGAGTCGTCCGCGACTGAACCTAATGGTCGGGGGTACCTTTACCTATAGGATACTGGGGTAGAAAGAGATGTAGGGTTACTGCTTTCAGAAGTAACTATACTGCTCAGCAGAGCAGCCTAATCCTGGGGCCGTTGCGTAGGGGTTGGTTAGATGCAGAATTTAGTGTCTGGTCTTCGTTCATTTCTGCTATGCCCCTGGGCTACTATTCTGCTTGCTAGGAATTTGGTATTATCGCATATCACAATAAAAGCAAAGCATGTAATGGAATTTTAAGAAGATAAAACACCTAGGACGTATGCTGACTCCAGAGTCAGATAAGATTTCATTCTATAACGCTTTAATTAATCTCAGAATGTTGCTGTCTCTTTAGATTCAGGGGGTGATTTATAAGTGGTTTTTTAATAAAATATTCAAAACAATTTGCCTTTTTCTAAGCTTTTTATATCATCATGACTATTTTGCTTTGGGAGGGCAAGGCAAGTCTGAGACTCAGGAATTCTGCCTGAGGATTCGGTTTTTGGGGGGTGGGGGTCGGAACTGCTATGCAGAAATGAATAGTAGTGGTGGTGGGTGAAGGCTTTCTCATGGACTTGACTTTCCTTAAGTGAAAACTGATCTATAACACAATAATAACATTAGTTTGAAAGACAGCGGTAACTTAATGAAGGTAACATAGGATCTCTGTGCATAGGATCCTAAAGAATTAGTGTTCTGATTATGTACATTCACTTAGTTGGATCTATAGTGTGTTGAGGTTAGTGATTCCCCCTGCTTCAGTTTAGCATGAAACAGCCTTTTTAGGAAATTCCTTCTGAGCCTCAGGAGTGATTTTTAAGGGCTGCCACCCCCTCTGTAAGCATGGTTTGAATCATAGAATCATAGAGTTGGAAAGGACCCTGAGGATCATCTTACCCCATCCCGCTGCAGTGCAGGAAGATTCAGTTGTCCCACATGGGGATCAAACCTGCAACCTTCTTTGAAGATAACCCCATTTTTATATTTTGAGAAGCTTTTTAATTCTGTAGCGGTCCTTTAGGGTGTTTAGTTTTCAGGAGCTTGCATATTTATATGTACATACAGTGGTACCTCGGTTATCGAACGCCTTTTAAGTCGAACGTTTCGGAACTTGAACGCCGAAAACCCGGAAGTAAATGAAATGCCTCAGTTTTCGAACGTGCCTCAGAACTCGAACAGGAAACGTGGCTTCCATTCTGAGTTTTCTGTTTTGAGGCTTCCGCTTTCGGTTTTCATTTTTCGAACGTTTCGGAACTCGAACAGACTTCCGGAACGGATTATGTTTGAAAACCGAGGTACCACTGTACAGTCATGCCTTGGGTTGAAGTAGTTTCCGGTTGAGCATTTTCGGCTTGTGCTCCATGGCGACCCGGAAGTAACGGAGCATGTTACTTCCGGGTTTCACCGCATGTGCAGACGCTCAAAATGACGTTGTGCGTGGAAGCGGCAAATCGCAACTCGCGCAGATGCAGGTTGCGTTCGCTTCAGGATGCGAACGGGGCTCCGGAATGGATCCTGTTCGCATCCAGAGGTATTACTGTATAGTGTTTATAAGCTTTTAATCTTGCTTTCCTATCCAAGGAAATAGAAGAGTAGAAGTCTTGACTTATCATCACAACAGTTGTGTGGTATAGGTTAGCCCTGACTGTGATTGAGTCAACGGTACATTGTGAGCTTCATGGCTTAGCAGACATTTTAACTTGGGTCTCCTAGATCTCAAGTCCAACAGTCTAGATAATATTTCACGGTGGCTCTTTAAGAGGTCTTAAGATCTGTTTGAACCTAGGTAGTTTACCAGAATCCCAGCCGTGGCACTTTACCTCAGTCATAACAATGTTTAGTTGGACCCAGAATTACCAGAATGATAACAGAATTTAAGGAAGCCCATCAGCACACAAGAAAACAAATGGAAACACATTGTTATGATCAGATGTCTAGTGTGCAGACAGCATTTGCTAAAGATTTTTGTTCACTTGTGGAAGTGATTGGAGAGCTTTTCCTTTAAAGAAGAGACCATCTATTCAAAGACAATTGGAGGCCTTCTGCTATGGAGATGTTTAACTATGGAGAAAAGTGAACAAAAGTCAGAACAATAAAACATTATTTTGTAGCTAAACAACCAGGGTGTCAAAAGAAAGAAAGAAGGAAAGAAAGAAAGAAAGAAAGAAAGAAAGAAAGACTGGCATTAATTTAAAAAGCATGTAGAGCACTCTTCATAACTTGATGCCCAAACACAGGGTAGGAATTTTGATGGTTTCTCTGAACGCAGAAGTTAGGTATGCCCTCCTTCACTATCTTTTGCGGTAAGAATGCCCCCGGATATAAAACAGCGACTTAATGTAATGCATAGAAGACTTCTCAGCTACAGCATGAGTCACCCACTGTTATGTATATTCATTGATGGAGCAGACATCATTCAAATTCTGGAGCTTACTGATGCTCTGCTAGGAGTGGAATGTGTGCAATATAACATCTCAAATGAAACTATGCATACCACTGAGAGGTTTGTTGTACTGCCCTAGGACAGAACAAGCGCTTGCATTGATGTGGTCAAGGGCAGAAAGAAGTCGCTTGCAAGGAGGATTTGTGGAAGGAATTCCACCAACGTGAGCTACTCTTGAACAGCATGTAAAGAAGGCAGTTTTCTAGGTTGGTCGTGCCTGGAGACAGACTCTTGTTTCCAAGGCCTTTCCTTCCCCAAAAGGTTTAGGCTGGATTCAGGTGGGTGACGGAAACTCTAAATGGCTTTCTTCTGGCTGCCCAAAATATCAGAAGGACAGGGAATGCAAAACTTCCCTGTTCTCTTGTGAGGCTGAATGCTTCAGCAAATCAGTCTGATAAACCAGAATAATCTTCAGCATGTGTGTTTGTTAAATTTAAAAGCCAGTATAACTATCTTAAGAACATATCCCAGAATTCCTACTTGGTTTCCGTTAAATTGCCATCCTGTCTTCTGCCCTCAGACTTTGGCCTATCGACACAAGGAATCCACAAAGTTTTATTGATAAAACCATCACTGAAAAGGTTGGCTGACCAGCCACCTAACCTTTGAAGATGGTGACAACTGGAGAAGGTGCACCTCAAATTCTAGTTGGGCTTGTGGAATTGAACTGTTTTGGAGTACTTTCCATTTGGATGTGTGTGCTCCTGTGTAGAGCCTTGTTTTTTGTAAAAAAAATAATAATCAGGGATGGGGCACCGGCAGTCTGCCATGGTGTTATTGGAGTCTCATCAGTCCTGACCCTTGGTGATGCTAGCTGGGGAGTTCTGGTCCAACAACATCTGGAGAAGAAGAAGAAGAAGAGTTTGGATTTGATATCCCGCCTTTCACTCCCCTTCAGGAGTCTCAAAGCGGCTAACATTCTCCTTTCCCTTCCTCCCCCACAACAAACACTCTGTGAGGTGAGTGGGGCTGAGAGACTTCAGAGAAGTGTGACTGGCCCAAGGTCACCCAGCAGCTGCATGTGGAGGAGTGGAGACGCGAACCCGGTTCCCCAGATTACGAGTCCACCGCTCTTAACCACTACACCACACTGGCTCACACTGGAGGGCCACAGGTAGACAATACAGTACATAGAACTGCATGAAGACGAATTCCCATCTCTTATTGATTATTGTAGTTTCTACTGGTACAGTTATGCAGAGTTCAAGCAAGTCCCGGGAACAAATTACTGATCTTTATTCTTGTAAGGATTGTCCCATGCTGCTCGTGTACTGCTTAAATTTGGTCTGTTGCTGAACATTGCTACTTCAGGTGAAGCCCATAGGTGTCTGTTAACAGAAGATACTGTCTTTTTAGGAATCTCCCTTCTGAATGGTGTTTCTCAGAAATGATGGAAGTGTACGCCAACAATGACTTGAAAGTGAAGTGCTTGGAAATTTTGTGAAACGTGCCTTAACGGTTAAGCACACTGGTTTGACTGTTGCTCAAAACATTATTTGCTTAGTGACTTAAGATGTGCACCTTGGATAACAAATTACCTTGAGCATTCATTTCCACCTAGGATTTAATGATATTCAGGGTTTAAAGCTTTCTATAGGCAATGGTGTCAGTAAGGAAAGCTAAGCATGGTCTTGATCTTCAGGACGCATTTCAAAACACGCAAAGTAGGGAGTGGCTTGAGAAAGACAAAGGAAATACAGTGGTACCTCGGGTTACATACGCTTCAGGTTACATACGCTTCAGGTTACAGACTCTGCTAACCCAGAAATATTACCTCAGGTTAAGAACTTTGCTTCAGGATGAGAACAGAAATTGTGCTCTGGCGGCGCAGCAGCAGCAGGAGGCCCCATAGGCTAAAGTGGTGCTTCAGATTAAGAACAGTTTCAGGTTAAGAATGGACCTCCGGAACGAATTAAGTACTTAACCTGAGGTACCACTGTAGAAATAAGCTTTCTGAAAAGGTTTGAAGGAAAGGTGTGACCATAGCTAGCTAACTTAATTTTATCTCGGTATCCTTTGTGGAAGGATTTTCCTGTGAGCAATCTAGGTTATAGCATTCGTAGGCTAGACTGTTACTGAGCATCAGAATCACTTAGGCTCTATGTGACATTCAAAAATTAAATGTATAAGTCTGTTAACTAAAGGAAGTCTGGATTTACAATTTTATTAAAGTATACTCACTAATAAGGACTTCTCTATGAATCAATATAGCCTCTGCAGAAATTAGCTGGTAGGAAATTTTTACAAAAGGACTGGCATTATCGCCTTGATAATGTTTTAATGTGAAAGAAAAGTCGTATAAAATTTTATATTGCTGGTATTCAGTACCACATAAAATCAGATACACAGGCTCCAGCAGCATAAATGCTATATATAATCTCTAACTAAAGGCAGATTTTATATATTTGGTAGGATTGTTCCAAGATAAAGAGTTTTCTTTATGGGAGGATACTAACAGCATCCCCAGCTTTCCATTAATATTAGGCATGTATTCTTTAATCAATTGCTCACTCAAGAGCATTATGACCAAGCGTGGAATCTTTTAACAGTAGTAAATTCTGGCATGCTTAATGAAAATCAGTGGCATCCAAATGTATGTTTGGAAGGTTTCTCAAATTGCAAAATATTCAGAGGAGTATGTGCGAATAAGGATGGATAGACAGGTCAAAGTTGTGAAAAATATTGGGTTCTTCTCATTAACGTCATGAAAGTAAGATATATTAACAGGGAGTAACCAACACTGCCTGGGATTTTTAAAGAACCCACCAAATACTGTGTTTTTTAAATGGATTGTATAATTGGCCACTTTAGACCCATCATGCCAGAGTCACTTTTTGATTCGAAATCTTGATTCAAAATGGCAGCCAGCATACCAATGGCAATGAAATCTGCTTCCCCCTCCTTGGGGAATATCTTCACAGAGTTTGGAAATGTTATCTCTAGAGGTGGCCAAACCTATGTCAATAAAGCGGCACCGTCACACTCAAGTCACCTTTTAGTGCACCGTCTTGATTCATAATGGTGCCTGGCACTCAAACACTGACCCCTCCCCACCCCCCACAAGTTTGGCAACAATGTCTGGGTAGGCGGCTGAACCTATGAAGAACAAACAGACAAACCACTTTCCAAAATATATAGTAGATAACAGAAATAGCCAATATGGTGCCCTCCAGAACAACTCTCCTCCCTGACCTATAGCAATGGAAGCTGGGATTGGTGAATGTTATAGTCCACAGCATCGGCTATCCCAGTGTAGAATTTACAAAATAGTATGTTTTGTAAGCAAATTTTAGTAACCTTTGTTATGATTATAGTGTACAGTGGTACCTCAGGTTACAGACGCTTCAGGTCACAGACTCCGCTAACCCAGAAATAGTACCTTGGGTTAAGAACTTTGCTTCAGGATGAGAACAGAAATTGCGTGGCGGCTGCAGGAGGCCCCATTAGCTAAAGTGGTACCTCAGGTTAAGAACAGTTTCAGGTTAAGAACAGACCTCCAGAACAAATTAAGTTCTTAACCCAAGGTACCATTGTATTGTTTTTATACAATGAAAATCCTAACCCTACTTAATCTGGGAGTAATCCCCACTGAATGCAATAGGACTTCTGAGTAGGCATAGTTAGGATTGTGTTGTTATTTTTTCTCTCTCTTTCTGTATACATATGCATCTTTAAATTATAATTAATCATGTGAGACAGATTATTACCCCGTGCTAATGGGGCTTGGACCAAAGACAGCTCAGGCAGCAGCTAGGCTCGTTCTTGCTGGAACAAAATATGTTCCTTTCCTCCCACGTTGAGAGCAGACCAGGATGTAGCTCAGGGTTTGTGTCAGAGTTGGAACTATTTATGAAACTAATCCATATTTTTGAATGATTTCCACATCTAATCCTGCAGGACTCTCTATTTGAGTTTTAAAAGCAGAAACGACATGATTGGATTCTTGCTCAGATATTGTATTCAGATAGTTCTGAAGGTGCCATTAGATTGACAAGTCTGCAACAGCATATTGTTTAGCAATTTATAGCATTCTGTCATTAGTCTTTGACACAGTAGTACAGTCAACAATCAAAATACAATATAGCAAAATTTAAAAAGGAGGGAGCCTTGGAAGTCCAACGATAGGGGTAAGTTTGCTTTTAATCAAGCCATAGTCCATATTGCTGCTGGATTTCTTTTTTTTTTTCTAATTTCTTTTTATTAATTTTCTAAGCCAAACAACAACAGAAAAAAGAAAAACAAACCGAACACACCAATGAGAAGAAAAGAGAAAAACATCAACCAAAACAGAAAATATAAACAAACCAGAAGACAAACATCAATTAACACAAATAAAAGTTGACTTCCCTCCATCTCGATTTTGGATTATGTAAAGTAGTAATTCTGTTCTGCAGTTTTCATTTTATATCATCTAAACATCGCAAGGATTATATTAAACCTACTGTGATTTTTATATCTCTAGAATTTGATTCCATGTACATTATAAATTTATTCCAGTCATCAATAAACTTTGTACCTTTTTGCTGTCTGATATTCTGTGTCATTCTTGCCAAATCCATATATTCAAATAATTTAATTTGCCAATCTTTAACAGTCGGGATATTTGGGGTTTTCCAATTTGCTGCTGGATTTCTAACCCTGTTGTGTTTATTTTTAGGGTATGATAAGCTATTGTTGACTACGTCAGCATAAAGAATCACATTGTTAAACTTGCTTAATATTCTTTATGATCAGTTCCTGGTTTTTTAATCATTCTTATGTTTCTTAAGCTACACCAATTCAAGCTTAAACCTTTTTTTGCTTGATCTTTGGCTAGACCTGAATAATACGGGAGAACGACTTCTCCTTCTTAGTGAATCTGTAGTGCTTCTGCAACATCCAGTATGTTTTTCAGGCTTCAATCCTATATGTACTTACCCAGGAGTAATTTACACTGAACAACGTGGCTTACTTCCGAGTAGACTTACGTAGGATCTGAAATGCTCTAATACTCTATATACAGTTTCTCAGTGCTGTTTTGGGGCAACTATGTGGTCTTTTCCCTAGGAAGATAGCTGATTATTTGAGTACGCATCTCCTTTTTGTTAAGGTCATGAAAAAAAGATGTAGCATGAGTTTTAGTATCTTCTTCCCTTTGAATGCAATGGTGCATTTTAACTGCAAAAGCTATCATGGTTGAAATAATATCCCAAATGTACCTGTAATGTTCAACTTAACATTCATCACAGCAATGTTTGTTTTTTAGTGCAAATGCCTCATTTCAGGTATATTACTGTTATAGCATATGAGTGTTTTGTAGAGCATCTCCAAATACTTAAAAGAACTTTTGACATGCTTTCCAATTTCTTTAATCCTTTTTACAGTTTTTTTTATTATTATGTTTGATCATGAAGAGGTCAGGTGCAGAAGGTTTTAAAACCTATCCTCAGGGTCCACTTAAGGCAGCTGAAAACTACTGAGGTCGACTAGTCACAAAATGGTGGTGCAGTGGCAGAGCCATTCAAAAATTGGTGGTAGATGGAGGCAGTGTTTAGCATTTTTAAAAAATGATCTCTAATCCATCTTTAGAAATTGCTAAATTCTTTGCCAAAGCATTTCCCTTGTCACAGGGAGTTCAATAACTTGGCTTTCCTTAAGTTATACTGCAAGGAGATGTTTTCATTTAACTATTTTCCTTCTCACCCCAACATGTCTCTCAATATATTTTTACCCATCTCCTGTAATTTTTCTCCCATTCTCCATGTACCTTACTCTCATTCCCACAAGCTGTCAGTTTCTTTTATCCTTCCTGTCTGGTCCTTTTACATTCAATTAGTATAGTTGTTTCTTTGTTTTGGTGCTATAACGAATGAAGTACTCTGAAGGAGAAGTTTTCTCTTTTACCAGCTCCCCACAAAGCTACGTATCAGCCATGGCCTTAATTTAAGAGTCCATTGCCTTTAATTATAAAACATGGACTGTTTTCATATACACAATAATATGCTTGCAGTACCTTAAGATTAACCTGACCTGGGGGTGGAGGAAGATTAGCTGTGTCCCTCTAATATTTTTCCTTTTTTTAGGAAAAGCATTTGGGTTGCACTCAGTAACTGATTATTAGGTATTTTTCAACTAAAACTTTTAACAGCAATCTGAAAGACCACCTCTTCTACAGTGTTATGATGTGCAGAGGGGGGTCCTCCTGGTAGCACTACTGCCCTTGGAAATTATGGCAGTGGTGGCTCAGAAGACCCTTCAGCTATGGAATTCCCTCACCACAGAGGTGCACCCGGCACTTCAATGGTATCGCTTTAGTTGTATACTGAAGACATAAATCCTTACTCTTTCCTTTGGCACCTGAGGTATATGGTTTAGCATCCACCCTAGTCTCTTGACTGTAATTCTTTTTTAACTGATTTTAATATGTATTTTTTTACATTGCTGTAACCTGCCATGGGACCTCATGGTGAAGGGATGTGTGTGTGTGTGTAAGAAATAGAATTACAGTCAAACTTCAGTTGTTGAACGTCTCAGCTGCCGAACGTTTCGGAAACTGAACGGCAACAACCCAGAAGTAACTGCTTCCGTTTTCGAACGCTCCTCAGATGTCGAACGGCTTCTGAGGCGTGTTTCTCTCTCTTTTTCAATGAGATTTGCCGACAGCCCTTTGATCCTTGGTTGTCGAACATTTCGGAAGTCGAATGATCTTCCGGAATGGATTACGTTCGACAACTCAGGTTCCACTGTAATAGTAATAGTTGGGCACCTGGTTTTGTTTTGATTTGCTTACTGCAGCCCTCTACATGAAATCTTACTCTGTTCCAACGGCCCATGACTCTCAGATGTAGTCCCCAGAAGTCCCCTCAGAAGTGAGGACGTACAAAGCTCAGAAAAGAATGGATCAGTAACTGCTTCTATTATGGCAATGCCATCTTTGGATACCATCCCATATGTCTACAGTATTGATGGGTTCTGAACTTTCTTGAGTTTGAAGCCATTTATCTGGTCTGTTGCTACAAAGGCTGCTTCCAGCTGTAGTGAAAGAGGAGAAAGTGAGACAGTGGATATTATGGCACGAATGTGAGCAAATGTAGTTTACCTGAGACTAAATGCAAGAACACCCTTTGGGATTAACTGTGTGTGTGTGTGTGTGTGTGTGTGTGTGGTCAAAGGCTGATCACTCAATAAAGTTTGCTTGAGTTCAACCGGCTGCAGTTCCCTAACATTTCTTCTGTGTAATTTTTTTCTTGTGAAAATGGAAATCGTATCTACATTTTGGTTTACATTAATTTAAAATTAACACATGCACCAAGTAAAGTAGAGTGATTAAAAGCATGTGTTGTCTTTAGCGTTCTAATTAAAAGCGTGTTTTCGTTTGTTTCAGAATCTTCTCGCAAGCGTAACTTTGCTCAAGAGTCTTAACTTTCTGTGTCTGGATCCTGAATTGTGCCAAAGGTAAGTTACATGGAGTTCATTTGAACTAAGAATACTTCTCTCTTTCCCACTTAAAATTGCTGAACTAATTGTGTCTTGCCTCCATTTCTCAAGTGCTTTTATCATTTAGTATGCTTAAGGCTGCAACCGTACTATCAGTTCCAGGATGGTGACTTCTGTCACGTTCACTCTTAAATATGGGAAGGAATCCTTAACTTAGCCTCCTTAACTACTTGTTCCAAGATATAGTCCAGGAGGTCTTTAATGTCATGCATTCCTGAGAGAACAGCAATGGAGGCCGTACCAGTTGTGTTACTCAGTGGAGATGGAACCATCTTAGAAATGTCTAGACCTTGGAAAGGATTTCTGTCCTCTCCCCTTGGAAAGGGGAAGACAAAAATCTTCCTTTGGAAGGATTTCTGTCCTCCCTCCTCACATATTTTCTTTCCATTACTTCTCCATAAGGTTACAGTTTCACGATAGAGGTGGACTTTCTGTCTTGTAGCCAGGGGCTATCTACAGGTACTAAGTAAAGGTAAAGGGACCCCTGACCATTAGGTCCAGTCGTGGCCGACTCTGGGGTTGTGGCGCTCATCTCGCTTCGTTGGCCGAGGGAGCCGGCGTACAGCTTCCAGGTCATGTGGCCAGCATGACCAAGCCGCTTCTGGTGAACCAGAGCAGCACATGGAAACGCCGTTTACCTTCCCGCCGGAGCGGTACCTATTTATTTACTTGCACTTTGATGTGCTTTCGAACTGCTAGGTTGGCAGGAGCAGGGACCGAGCAATGGGAGCTCACCCCGTCGCGGGGATTTGAACCGCCGACCTTCTGATCGGCAAGTCCTAGGCTCTGTGGTTTAACCCACAGCGCCACCCGCGTCCCTCGACAGGTACTAGCCAGCACCAAAGCAGTGTTATGCTTGTTAAGTTCATTTTGATACAGTTTTTTTTATGATACATAAACCATCGTCATCAGTTGATGAAAGAGATCAGCTCTCAACAGTCTCTGAAGCTAAGTGGGAAAACTGCACCTGTTGTTTCTTATGTGGGCTGCAGTCACGAGTCATATGATTTATTTATTTTTTAAGCAATTCCAAACATAGAACAAATTGCTAGTCCTGTTTTTTATTTATTTATTTATTGTAAGTAATGTTACATGATGGATAGAAATCTGGTAAGGCTAACCCTATCCCTTGCTAAAGTGCCCTTCAATATCATTTAAGAAATCAGCTTTTCCTGCCTTATCCATATCATTTATTAAATAGCTGCCCCTGCTCTTCAACCGAGGGGCAAAAGGCACGAGTCATAATCCAGTTTATTTACATTCCCTTATCCCTGACTCTCAACCTTGCCTGGCTTTCACTAATCTATTCTTCTCTTCTTTTCTTCTTGTAATGTTGCCAAAGTTTTAACTAGCCTTCGTAGCTGTGTTTTAAACTGCGCCTTGATGTTATTCACGCATATCAAGTTGCTCTTAAAGAGACATGGGCAGGCTGTGTTTCATTGGACAGTTGGTAATCCTAACTCCTCTCAATTTCCTCAATCAGATTTATGATTGTGAAAGAGTAGAAAAATTATGAATACTACTAGTTGTGATACTTGTTTCTATGGTGTTTGGATATGTATTGCATTATATGCATAATGATGTCCGAACTAAATAAGTAACTTGATTGCATTGTATCCATGCAAGATTCCTCCCCCCCCCCCACTGCCCAATTTGCAATTTTATTTGAACTGTAAAATATCTGCAGTATTCTGGTAACACAGATTGGAATACATGTTTCCCTTTCAGAGGACAGAAGGGTCTGTAATAGCATTTACAGACAGCAACAAAGTAGACTCCCTTAGAAAGTAGGTAATAGCTTTCTAGGGGATTAGTAATCGGGTTTGCAATATTAGAAGTTTCAGAGTTTTGTCCTTTGTAGGTAAGATCAAGGTTAAATTTGCACAGTTTAGAAACCAACCCCCACCCCCACAAATGATAGAAGCACTGTGATGCTTCTGGAAAAAGTGAATTGAGAACAGCAGCGGCTCTTTCATGTGAAAATCAATAGGCCAAAAGAACAGATAGGGCCAGATCTCATACAAACTTCAAAGTTTTGAGACTGGCAGTGACTTGCACTATATATTATCTGCACGCTGGAGGGGATAACTGCAACGCACCAGGTGACCAGTCGGATATTTATTTCTCTTTTCCCTTAAACATAGGACTTAGCTGTTGTAAAGGGATTGTGTCTTGCCACCCTAGATGGGTGAAACACTGAAATTCTGTGACGATAGCTTATAGACAGAGGATCAGTGATTCTTCACCCAACATGGAAATTCCCAGATCACGATGGTCTTGATTTAGACATTGAATTGGAAAGGCGAGTAAACATGATATTCTCTTCTGTTTTTATGCAGTGTATATTTGCCAACTGTGAAATCCATGGGACTTGGTTGATCTCACACACACCACTCATTTCCCCTCTTCTTATATAATATCCAAAATGCCACAGATTCTGTTTTGGAGAAGTACTTTTGCAAGCAGAATTTTTATTTCTCAGTTCCACCTTCTTCTTTTGTTTATATGGAACCTGTGGCCAAATGCTCTTCATTGCCTTTCTCTGCCTAGAAATGTGGAAGGAAGGACAATGGGCATTCTTAAAAGCTGAATTCCAAGGGATCAAGGAAGGAGTATCCTGGTTTGTTCAGCAGATTGCTCCACAAAGCAGTGAGGAACATTTGGAGTAAGGCAGAACCAATCTATTAAGTAGGCTACCCTGTGACCCTTGTGGTCTGCTCAGGATCTGGTTGGGGTGCCTAAAGTAATAATAATAATTTATTATTTATACGCTGCCCATCTGGCTGGGTTTCTCCAGCCACTCTGGGCAGCTCCCAACAGAATATTAAAAATACGATAAAACAATCAAACATTAAAAACTTTCCTAAGCAAGGCTGCCTTCAGATGTCTTCCAGAAGTCAGATAGTCTATAAGAGAGACACCTCTTGAAATATTTTTTAAAGTAATGTTTGTTTAATATTTGAAGATAAAGCACAAGAAAGAAAAGAAGAAATACTCCAATACTTAACATAGAAGAGAAAGAGAGAAAACCTTATAATTTTGGAGCAAGCCAATCCTAGGAGTTTACAGTGTTATGTAAAAGAGGTAATTTTATGCCCTGAAGGCTCATTATTTAAAGTAGACAGATGTGGGCTGACATTGGAACTGGGGAACTGGAAAGTAAAATTTTCCTTCACTTAATCTAAATCTTCCTGCTCCCTTAAAACTCAGCAGAGGAATCTCTCTCATGCATTGCGCTAAGGAGCCGTAGCTATCTTCATCAAACTTCACACTTTTCATGTCTCCCACGCTATTCTGTATACCTTCCGCTTCTTCTTTTGTGGGTCTTTTTTGGGACTGTGGGCACGTTTGGAAGTCGGCAGAACTCTTGTGAGCACCGCCATAAATCGGTGTGCACGGGGCAGTTTTCCAACCACAACAAGATGACTGCATGGAGGGCCTATCTGGTCCCAGAGAGCAGATAACTTGCCTGAGAAAATGAGTACAACCCCCTCCCCCAAAACAAGGAACCCCCCCCCCAACTTCAAAACCCAAAAAAGAGGCCAAGACCCACACGCCTACTCCAGAATTAAGTAAGAGAGGCAAAACGCAAAGAAAACCTTCAAAAAGAAACCCCTCCAAGCTCAGCACTCATTTTGCATCCTAGTGCCTCCCATTCATTCCCCAGTGGCAGGGTCCTATCTCAAGAGATTTGGAGGGAGGATACAAGATGGAGCATATTGGTTTCTTTTCCCCCTCTCTCCTTGCCACCCCAACCCCTTTTGACCCTTTCTTTTCCAAGAAAGGAAACAGCAGCTGGCTATCTGGGAAGAAGGTGAGGCAGCTTGGAGCCTTCTCTTCTTTTTATTCCAGCCAGCCCAGCCTGCTGCTCATCAAGGTAAATGAAAGCAGGCGACAACTGACAACATGGCCACAACTGGACTTAATCGTCAGGGGTCCCTTTACCTTTACCTTTACCTTTACCTGCAATATGTAATGGTAAAAAGCCAGTGCCTTTCACATGGTTGCAATCTTTTAGACGGTGCCCTTGCTCAGCACTTGAATGTCAACAGTTGTTCACAAACCTGGAAGGGGAAGATGGGAGGCGTAGCCCTGGTGTGATAACCTTGGAATGGTGTATTACTGTCTCCCACATTACTGCAACATAAGTAATTGAAAATGCTATTTATTGGTATTGCAGCTAGATAAGCTTCCTTGGTAACCCTGCTTTGATAAATGTGAATTAATATTTACGTCATTCACGCAGGTGATTAGTAGTGGTGGCCCTATGGCAGCCTATATCTCAGTGCTTTTCATGTTCCAAATTGCTGGTCTGTTCTTACAAATTTGCAGAGTAGTTTTGTGTTTTACATGCCACACTCACACGTTTTTCCATCCTTTCCCATCCTGCTCTTAGAAAGGCTGTGTGAATTCTGTTGCTCCTAGTGCTAGACTTTCGTACTGTGGACTTAAGCAAGCAGGCTTTCTCAGGCCTGTTGAGCATACGGTATTCCCTTTTCATATTAGATAGTAATCTTCAGCCTTTGCCTTCCGAGGTACGACTGTATTTCGAATACATTCGAGAACCAAGCCGTGGCTTCCGATTGAAATAATGAGGATGCCACTGCAAAAAGGCGGAGAGGGCAGCAGGAAGGAGAGACGACAGAAGGGTGTTCAGGGGTCAGCAAACTTTTTCAGCTGGGGGCCGGTCCGCTGTCCCTCAGACCTTGTGGGGGGCCGGACTCTATTTTTTTGGGGGGGGGGGATGAATAAATTCCTATGTCCCACAAATAACCCAGAGATGCATTTTATATAAAAGGACACATTCTACTCATGTAAAAACATGCTGATTCCGGGACCGTCCGCGGGCCGGATTTAGAAGGTGCTTGGGCCAGACCCGGCCCCCAGGCCTTAGTTTGCCTACCCATGGTGTTGGCAGTGGCAGA